GTGTGGGATTTGCCTCATCAAATGATAATCATGGAAAAATCAATGCACGTTTCCCGCGGTTGTCCACTACTTGGGGTGCGAGGGAAGGGTCCGCTAATGTGGCAATAACCGCCTCATGGCAAGCATACTGTGGCAGGGAACCCTTATGATCTGGGAGTGGCCACCCGCATTCGAATGTGATAAGAATAGGGAGACGGACATTAATTTGAAACATAATTACATTACATCTGTCCACCCATCCACGTTGAACGCAAAAACTGTCGCATCAAACATCACGTCGAAAGCTCTCTCTCTCTCTCTCTCTGCTCCTGGCAGCGCAGGAGAGCGTCCGGCAGCCGATCCAGCTTTTTGAGACACATCGCTGAGCCATAGAGAGCCTCTGACCGCCGACCGGTTCGGACGAGGCGAATCTGTCACGGCGGCGACGCGTCCGGGCGCTGTTTCAGCATGCAGCACGCAGGAGCGAAAGCTGTTGTTTGTGGAAGGCCGCTGTTGCTTTTTGCGCTGTATAAGGTTCAGGGGTGTTCAGGGAACAGAATTGACAGGTCCGGGGAACACAAAAAAAAGGAGCTTGCATGAGTTTGCCAGTGCGGCCAATGCACTAGAAAGTTGCAGGATGCGGACGAAAAGCAGACTGTGCACACTCTTCACCAACGTTGGCTGCCCCCTGCAGCGCTGCTGGTCCCCACCATCCATCGCCATCCCCCAGGACGCCAGGATGCCGAGCTCTCCACGCCCACCCTGTACTCCTCCACCCATCCACCCCAGAGGTCTTTGACCAAGAGCGCCTTGGCATTTCCAGGTGACAAGGTCAAGGCCTGCTGGGCATCGGCTTCAGCGAGGTCCCAGCCTGATTGGGCGCGAAAAAAAAAGAGGTTGCTGAAGACGTCCAGGCGCACTGCCGGGAGTGACCCAGGCACAAAAGGGATGGTTTTTAGTTCCTGAGTGAGTGGGCAATCCTCCAATAGGCACTATACTGGTAGCACCTTAGGTAGTCAATAGAATGAGTGGCACTATGTGGCACTCTTCTTACAGGTTCAATAGAGTGAGTCGGAACCCCATTCTCGACCTTCAGGCACTGGCCTGACTGGCCCCGGGCCTGGGTGGGTCTATCTCTGCCACGTGGCTTGGTTGGTTAGTTACACGCTTAGCTCCTTTTTGCATGGAAATGAAGTTCATGATTCATGATGTCAGGTTATAATCCGTTTTAGGTTGCAACGTGCAACCCAAAGAACCAGAATAACCATGAATAACCCAAGAAATAGACCGTAACGTACCGTTGGAAAAAGAACAACCAAACAAAAACAATGAACCCCCAGAGTTGGTGCTCGGTGTGAGACACGTCCTTATAAAAACCACTTGACCACCCGAAAGCTGCACAGTTTGGGGGCTCATCGCCGGGTGTCGGTCTCCCTGTTTGAGCGCCAGGGCGGAGCTGGCGGAGCTGTACGCTCCGCACCGGCCCGCACCGGTCTGGGTGCACCGCACGGCCTTGTTGACGATATGCATTGGAGCGGTTCAGCCAAAAGGCACACTCCTGGCACCGAGCGGAGGATGCGAGCGGCGATCCGCAAGCTCAGACAGCGTGAGGTCTGGGCGAGTAGACTCGGATGGGCGGATCACCGAGCGTTCAAGCCATCTTGTATATAAGAGATGACTGGTCTGCACAGTAGACTCAGACCACACTAGTGCTGACAAACGTGACAAAGAATCAAGTACTGAGGGAGGGCTCATGAGGGCTCTATATTTAACTGTTTTCCTTGCAGTGCCTGTTCGGGCAGGATGTGCCAAAGCTTTCCCAACATGGACCTGGCCATGTAAGTGAACACCAGTGGTCAACTGCATCCTCACAGTGGTCAACACCCGCATGTGGGTTTCTGGTTTCTCCGTCCAATGGAATTCAGTGGAATCGCAAAAAATACTTGGAATTGCTCCGTCCCAACCCACCTCGCTGGCGAATCGCGACGGTTCTGACATGTTTGGCCCCAAAAAGGACTCGATACTCCTAGCACTTGGACACCGCTGCAAGCCACTCTTTGATCCAGCGTAGCTCTTGAAGGAATCTACTTTACCTGTACATGTCTTGGCAGTATGTATGTGTGGACTCTACATAAGTGCGTTTGTTTGGCAGTGACTCATGCATCAGCTCGCATGAAACAAACCAGCTATCAGGAATCAAAGAAACAAACATATAACAATACACAATAAATATGTATGCAGTATTTGCCCCCAAATAAGCGTTATCAAATGACCTCCCTGTTCTAAAACCCCAAATCTAGCAATGAATTTTGGAAGCCTCCCCATGCTGAAACCGTCTGCTTGGAAGCCTCCCCAGTTTCCGCAGTTTCACCGGCTCAGCTCCACGGGCTCTTCGACTCCGCGCGGTTTGCAGCTGCTCGGCTGCGGTTCGGCTCGGGTCCTCGGGATTCAATTCGATGGCACGGTTGTAGGCGTCCACCGCCAAGGCGAACTCCTGCCGCTTGAAGTGCTCGTTCCCTCGGCAGCCGGTGCCGGCTCGCATCGGTTAGCGCTGCGAACTCGCTGCGTTCTGCGTTGACCGGACCATCCACGGCCGGGTGCAGGGTGAGGTCCAAAGCCCTGACACAGGTGGTGATCCAATTTCGTATACGTTACGTCTGTTAGATCGAAGGCCGTTCGGCCGGAGTCACAATTGCCTAGATGGGCCCATGTTAAAACATGAGGCCAGGCTCTGAATCATTTCTCCAGAAGCAGAGACTTGGAAGAGCATGGAAGAGCAACATTCCAAAACAAGGCGAATGAAAACGATCTGTGTCTTTCCTTGTCTACCCCTTTCAGGCCTTTCAGGCACCTGTAAAAAGCCAAACTGAATTCTTCTCCGGGGATGCTAGACTTGGTCGGTGTTCTGGAGCAAGACTCAAAGTTCTGGGGAATCCTAGTTAGAGTGATACCTGCCCGTGAAGTTGCTGTTCATTCGTACCTTGCTTTTGCTATAGAGATCTGTAGAGGAATCCAAGATCCCGTCGTTTTCTTGACCAACTCAGTGGGTGCAGTGCTTTTGGACGCTGACCTACTGTACCTGTACCCACATGGTCAAGGGTGATGTTCATTGGCCAACATTGTTGATCCTAGCCTCCCACTTGCTCTCTGCTCAGGTCACCTTGCGCTTCGTTTTCTTTTCAAAAAGCGAGTCCGCAAGTCCAACATCTTCCAGGCACCCTTTTCTTTGAACTCCTCCGCAGTCGTCATCGCAGCTGCGAGGCTTTAGAACACAGGGCCAAACTGGCTGTCGAATCTGAGGAACTGAGGTACGCATGTCGAGCATGCCCGTCACGTAGCGCTGAACCGGGAGGGTATAGGTTCTTTGCAAAAGTGCAGGCTGACATGTAGATCTTTCAGGGTGTCGATTGTGTAGATATGTTAAATCAGCTTCTCCAACTACTATAATGCCCTCAACGCTGTATGACTTGCACCTGGACTTTCCAGGATCGGCTGCTGGGATTGCGGATGAGAAGCCCTCTGTTTTGATGACTGGATGCCTCAAAGACTACTGAACTGCTTTTGCAAGGCCAACAACAAAACCTTGAGCCACTTCTTCTGCAAACACGGATGGAGACGTTCTTTCTCCGGTGCCTTCTTTTTTTGAGCGGGATGAACAGGGGTGTTGACTTCCATGCTTTCATGGGTCCGACTTTATGTGCGATTGACCACCAGTCCATGAAAAAAAAGTCCATCCCAATGGTTCTCAAATATGACTCAAGAAGGAGAGTCAGTAGAGTTAGATTCCCTGGATCTGATTTTGACTGGCAATTATCCGCTGGTGATGTCAGGGAATGTATAGAATGAAGACTCAAACGCAACATCCAGAAGCAAACTTGAAGAGTGCTCTCGCTCTGTCCACCCAGTAGTCCCTTGATGGCAGCCTGAGTGACAAAAGTCGACCATTAGTGCAAGCCACATAGTAATTTGCGAATGGCAATTCAACCCAAAATCCGTTTCCAATGGATCTAGGATGATCTAGGCTTTGGCTGTTACTTGACTCCACGCCATCTCTTAGCGCCAAGGAATCCAAACTTCATCCCCTAAGCTTCTGATCAAGGGGAAATTGCTCGCAATCCAGGGTATCTGGATGAACCTCAACGACCCTCAATTGCTCAGGTTGGCGGACCAAGTCCCCGACTGTCCTGACTTGCAGGAAAGCCAGTCGTCGACTAAATACAAGTTAATGTTTCACCCAAATAAATGCAAAGAGTGGTTTCAGGGAGCATCTACAGGATTTCCTGGAAACCCATGGTTTTCACATGTGTTCACCCCCCCAATACTATGGGATATTATGGGATACTATGGGTATCCATGGGGATCCTGTAGATGTCCCTTAAATTATCCTCAAACCGTTTCAAAGGAATCCAACGGCTCCGTCACCTCACTCCCCCCCGAAGTCCATGCTGAAGCATGAATACCGGTACCCGTCTATATCCCTCTATCATCCTCTATCCGACTATCAAACAGTATACTGTTCGCCGGACCCGGTATTTGGCAAAACCCTCAGAGATAGCCTAAGTGGTTTACATAACAGTATACAAAATGTTCATGAATGTTCATGATTTGTCCAACATGGTCCTTGACGAGGTGTCCCAGGACACAAGGTTCATCCACTTCCATGCTTTATGATGGTTCCAACATGTTCCAATCCAGGTCAAGTGATCCACATTGGTTCACATGGCTCATCATGCCCAAACGCCCCTGGATCCTCCGTTCAGTTAGCGGCCGGACCCGAATCCTTTGGAGGTGTCCGGCCCCGAACCAATCCCCCATAATTTTTCAGGGACCCTGCAGAACTGAACGGAGCGTCTGGGTGGCTACACTACACAAATTGATCCCGCAACCCTTGAAAAATATAGAGATGAGATGCTCCAAAAAAGACCCGAATCGCCGATCTTCGCCTATACTGGGAGAGTCTGGGTGAGTCTGGGTTCACGCTCCACATCCGTCTGTGCCAGCGCGGGTTACAGCCGAGAGGCACGGGGATCCGGCCCTCAGGGAGCCGAAACGCGGGGAGGCGAAACGAGGGAGCACAACCTACGTCTCGGAAGGTTTTCAGTGGACATGTAGATCTCTTTGGGTGAATCGAAACCATCTGTGGTGAAATGTAGATCTCTCTGATGAAGCTGGATTCACCATCTCTTAAGGTGATGATGTTTTTGTGCTTTCACTGGACCCTCTTGAATTTGGTTTAAAGGTTCGCAATCCAAATGGGAGGGTCAAAAGAACAATCAGGAGTCTACATTCGCCAAACGACCCTCCTGGCACACACCCTAGTTCCACCGGAACGGAACGGAGGTATGTCAACCTGGAGCCCATCTGGGATGGTGTCAACGTCCTTTGGACAAGCGTTCCCAGTTCCATTTCCAATCTCAGTGTTCGGCAAGGTGACTGAACAAGCTCGGTCCCCAGTTGGTTTGGTCACTTGGAGGATAGCCAGGGGTCACTTTGAAGATGGATTGTATTTGGGCGGCTTTCTCAGAGTTGTATGGTGTGTATTCTGGTATACCTCCGTGACTCTTTTGGGGGGGGACGACCTTCCTTTTCTTTCGGTGTGGTCATGACTCCCTTGGCCACCGACCTGCTCTTTCAGACCAGTCACGCGTCACGCGTCGGTGCCGGCGCCCAGCGGTGCAAAAAGCTGAGCTCCAGGCGTGTCTCTGGAGACTCAAGCCTCGGACGTCGCGGTCTCGAGACGGATCGAGACAGATCGAGACGCGGCTGCTTCTCGCTGTCAAGCCCTTTATACTACATGGAATAGGGCACCCATGTCTGTTTGCCCAAACACTTCAGAATGGGGATTGGCATAGCACGACGTACGTCAGGCCTTACGTGTGTGAAAACGTGGTGGGTAGTTCAATGGGCTCGGGAGTAGATCCGCGGACCGGGTGAGGTCCCCAGGACCGGTCGGTGGTTCGCCCTCTGGTGAGTAAGACCTACTTCACTGCTGAGTCTCTGTTAGGACAAAACCATGTTGAACAAAAACAGACAATATCAATTAAATATAGAATATAAATGAAATTAAAATAATAAAATTGATATGAACATTGATAAGCACCTGCCACTGCTTCATGGATTCTTCAGGACACCCTCGGGCACGTCTCATCGGTTTTCACAACAAACACCCACAGAAACCCCAAACACATTGTCTTTCACACAGTTTCACCCGAACAAAGATCCCCCTCACGTGGTCGTTCTCGCCCCGACGACCTACGTGACCTCCTCGACCCATCGACGACGTTCGGCACCGCCGCTCTGCTGGGCTCAGCCACGCGCCCGTGAGCGGCACACGCCGGGCGAAGTCGCGCCGCGGCACCGGGTCGAAGGTGGGCGTCGCCGCGAGGCCAGAGACCTCGGTGCGCGCGGTCGACCGTGTCAGACGGCTGCGGCGTGTGGACGGTCGAGTTGATGGAGTTGGAAACGAGTGCTGACGATGAGTGAAACAAACACGATGAGTCCCAGGGGATGATGCTTTGGGGGAAGGCCAACGGATTTTATGGTGTGAAATCGCATCTGGCACGAGTTCGAGATAAAAGTTTAAGATAGTTTAAGATTTTTCGATGCTGAAGATTTTTCGACAAACATGGAACCAATTCGGCAGAGTTTAGTGAGAATCACATGTCCTCATCCCACGAGTGGATCACTGCACCGACTTGGCACGAGACGCTGAGGAGTCGCTGTCGCTTGCAAGGGAGGGAATTATATTTTGTGGCATTAATAACTATAATACGGTATTACTGTGAGTCATCCTGCTCGACAGCCACCTAGGAGTCTTGCACAGGTGGGGTACGATCATATCGATCGAACAAAAATCCAACTTCTTGGCAGAAGTGCATCATTATGATATTGGATGATATTGGGGTGTTGCTGATATGACCTTCAAATCTTAACGTGGTTCAGATTCTAATATGATGCTCACCATGATGGCCGTTCTGCGCCCGTTCTGCAGCTGTCGATGGCATCACAAACGGATCGACTCCCGTGGCATGCCCGTGGCATTCGCGCATTCGCTCTGCAAAACACACCTCCTCCACTGCAGCTTGCTGCCAGCGTCTCTCATAGGCAGTGCCTGAAACGAAACGGGTCTGCAACATGCAGAGGAATGGGACAAGCCCTAGACTCCAAGACAGACAGCTGAGTGGGCAAAGCCGCTGACGAGCATGCCTGAGTGGGCTTCTGGCTGCGTCACCTCATCTCGCCTAGGAGACAGGCTCCAAGCGCGCTGGGCGAATCGGTGGTGAGAGGTGATGGAGCCCAAAAGCACGGTAAAAGCTGCTATTTAAGGTGAGAATTATCAGCTATTATATACACACCATATACATCCTAGAACCCAATTGAAGCCTCATGTTGTTAGGAAAACGCCATATTTGGGAGTCTTTAATTTAAAGTCCCATCCCTTCATTGTTATCCATTCTTTCTCATCAGCTCTCTGTCTAAGGCCATCGGCACTGACCCTCCCCTCTACTGGGCACTCCGGGCTCAAAGGCTGCTTGCGTCCTCGCCTGTGAGTTCGCTCCCACGCTATACGCTGCTGGGCTGCTGTTTGTTTTGGGGAAGAGATGGGAAGATGGATACCCCCGGGCTCCTTCGTGGCCTCTTTATTCCTCAGCGCCAGCTAACTAGACAGACCGCCAAATCATGCCAAGGGACGGCCAAAGTCTCTTGCCCCGAAGCTTTTGTCGAAACTGGTCGCCGCATCTAGATCATGCAGTGCCCCAACATCCACCAACCCACAGGTCGCTTTTCGGAAAGATCCTTTGTTACCCATGAGTTGCACCAGCCACCAGTTAGACGAGCTACAGCGACAAGAACCTTGCTCTGCCGGAAATGACACCCCTTCACGCGTCCACCAAAGAAGTGACCTCAGCTGCCATGTTACGACCCGCACTTCGGACGTTGACCGGGTTGTGCCTGCCAGCTGGAGTATATGCTCAGCCGCAGCAACCGGGTGGCCACTTTGGCACTATAGTACCCAAACGCTCTATAAAGCTACCATATTTGCCAATCAGTTGGGGTGGTTTGGGGGTCAATGTAGGCATATTCATATATACATCCAGTGTAATTATGGGATCGTTTTTCCAGGGTGGCCACCTCCGTCTTAGTCGTATGATCTTGAAGCACCACCTCTACTCCATTCTCCCGTGCTCCCCCCCGGCAGCCTCAATGGTGGCGTCACTCTCCCAGGCCACCTGACCGAGCTCGCGTCGCGTCGCTCGCGTCGCGTCGGTTGGATGAGATGTGATGAGACGGGTCGGTCGGGTGGGTTTTCGTGTACGGAGAGCAACCACACGATCCTGCCTTAGGTCGTTCGAAAACCTGGTTCATCTACCGTGGAGGATGGTTAGGTACCAGGCCTTGTACAAAAAAAGAGTGACAATTGTTTACTGACTGTTACAGTCAATAGGACAAACCCAAACTATCCATACCACTATATACAGAATTCTGAATCACCTTGTCCAGCTCGGAACAAGGCCGGAACAAGGCTTCAGCATGCTTCAGCGAAGTGATCTGCCATGTCCGAACAAAAACTCTCTGTCTCAGGTCTCATAATACAGTGGATATCAGTGGATAGTTGGACGATCTCCTATGTTCTGCAACAAACCTTGGCTAAACATGGCTAAACCATCTATATACTCATCTAGAATCTACTATATATAGGTGTGTCTTTGCAAGTCCCACAAACGGGTCGGTCGTCCCACAAACGGGTCGTGCACATCAAATGCGTCAAGTTCTCCCCTGAAACACCATTGACCATTCCAACATGCGAAACTCTGAACTCTTCAGCCCGCCACATGACATGCCCAAAGTATGCCCAAAGTATGTCAATTAGCTCAGTCTTCCTCTTTTCCTTTCATCATTCGCTACTGTGTAAGAGTTCTCCAAGGAAAGAACGGAGGGTCATATGGCAACTTCATGTCAATTTCGGGGAGGGGTCGTGACCCACCCATGTGGAGCCAGACCAGTCCACCACGTTGAGCCAAACCCGGTCTCCGCACCTCCAACGGTGGGCCCGCCACCTGAGCACGAGTCGAGGGCACCCATTTCGCATCACAAGTCGAAGGAAACACATTTTCCTGGTTAGTGATATGCTTACTCCTTTTGACACGGAAATTGACATACTATATGATATATCAGTTTTTTTGTGGTTGCAACACGCAACCCAAAAAAAACAAGTGATTCACTGCCACCTTCTCAGAATGTAAAAACTTGGACCCTCACAACTCGCCTACACAAAAGAGCGGAGCACATCACCCTCGATAGTAGGGTATGTGGATCCATTATATATAAGGATTTAAAAACACAATAACGCAAACAAAACACACCCAAATGGCGAACACTGCAGGTTGTGCAGTGGGACCTTCAATTCGATGGTACCAGTGTCGCCCGATGCCCAGTCCTTCGTGTGGGGACAAACACCCGGTCTTCGGAAGCTGCCCAGGGAGTCCCTCACTTGGAGACCATGTACCACTCGGTGGGCGAGGAATCTCACCGGGTCAAATCCAAATGCTTTGCTGAATACTGCAGGACACCCTTGGCTTCGACATGCTTCGACTATATGAGATTGTTTGTCTTATTGGTGCTTCGAAATCAACATATGGTTCTTTGTGGATGTTCCAGTTGATTGCAGGATTCCTGTTGTAAAAAAGACTTATGAAGCTAAAAACCGGTGCTAGTAAAAAAAAAAACTTGTTCACATATGATGCGTTCCATGTTGAGCTTGTTCACATCCGTTGACACAATATGTTGCAACCTTTGGACCTGCAAGCTGCACCAGTACGACCCGTTCACCGTACGACCCGATACGACCCGAACCGGACCGTGGTCCGGTGGAGCTCCGTCGGACTGAGACAGACCGGCAGTCAGACGACACGGCGACCGTACGCGGTGATGGATTGGGTGTTCAGGCGACCGTACGAACTGTTTCGGCCACGAAAACGGCCGTGGGCTGTGGATTCCAAACAGGATAGGTGGATTTCCTCTAAATCCGTGGATCCTTCAGGCCCCAGGTGTTACAATGTATTTGCACCACTGCATCCAATGTGGAAGGCTGATTAAACTCGCCCGCTCACAAAAAGGGGCAACATCTGACTCTTCTGGATGATCGAAATCGGACTTGATCACCTCATCCATCTACACTGGACCCACTCGCCTGACAAGCCATGAGCTGCTCGATGCGTTGCCGGTGTTCGCACAAGCGCCTGCGCTCAGTGCTGAGAAGAACCGTCTGGGAATTTGGGGATGAACCAAACCAACTTGTGGCCAAATGGTGTACAATTCCTCGGTCCGCCCATGAAAAGAAAACAATGCTGGGTGATGATGATGTGCGGGCATGGGACTTCAGGGTCATCCGGAAGTCATGGGAAACCGTCTGATAATAGTTTTGCGCCAATCTACAAACCCATCAAACCATATCACACCCATCTCTAGCCAAATCCAAATGGCGCGTTCATGTTTTCATTGCACCATGAAATTGAATCATGCTGGGCAGGCGGAGTTGCAACCTCCCACAAAACAAAATTGACTGTCCAAAACACATTTGACTGTTTTTGGCCTGCTCCGTGCCAACGGTATCTCCCTGAAAAATGAAACGAAAACAATATGTTTTGATGGGGCCGATTTGCATCGCACTTGTGTCCATAACCCACCTACAGGCAAGCGTTCTTCTTCAAGTGGTGCTTTGCGCGCGGGTGTGCTCCCCCAATGTTTCACAGCAGAACTCAACAGCTAAATTGACATTGCTTTGTAGGCAAACACAAAAGTATTGTTCAATCTACTGTAATTAGGTTCCATCGGCTGTGCATCGTATAGACCTGTTCACAAAGTTGTTGCAAAAACTCAGTCAGCCAGGTGGCTACAACGGCGGTGGCTAAAACCAGAGATGGGTTCTGACTTTGCGACGCCGGATTGGCTGTGTCCGGCTCGTGTCATCTAGGCGAGAAGTAAACGGCTTTACTGAAGCTTAGTTAGGGCTGGTGCCATGTATCTCTGGTGAGCACGACCTTAGACAGCCAGGTGAAGCTGGGCCACCGAGCCACGCACGCTCGCGGGGCAGCGAGAACAGTAAGTCATCCACAGCCTGAATTTGCACACGTGGACACACTATGCCAGTCCTCTCGTCACACCTTCAGCCTTCAGCTGGTAAAGCACAGCATGATGGATGGAGTCACTGAGGTTGCCTTTCACAACTGCAGCTATATATTTAAACCCCTGTGATTGTTCATAGGCGGGTCGGCTTTTCATTTTATAAACCACCTGGTGTTTATAGACTGTGAGGGATAAGTGCTTTGGTTTTTAAATGAAACACAATAGTTTATACAATGACCAGCAATGGTCATAATAGGTGAAGATAGAAATCTACATCCAGGAGAGACAATTTGTGAAATGATAATTGCAAATCGGGAATGTCCGTAAGATGCCACATCCGTAGCCTCTATGAAAAAAGGAAATAAAAGGAACTTCTTGATTTCAAGATCAAGATGCTGCAACACATTTTCCTCCCGCTCACAGCTCAGATTAGGATTTTTGCTTGAAACTGGAATGCTGGAAGGTCTGTGGGGCGAACTGGTTCGATCCACGGCGTCAGGCTCGGCTCGGGCCGTCTCGGTATCCTGGTTTGACCCACAGACCGACAGGTCCCATGTTCCTTTGGTCAAAAGGAAAACAGTTGCGCAAATGATTTCATGGCCTCTACACTAGACCTACTAGTACAGGACAAGAACGTCCTGTGAGCGAAAGTTAGCTGTGTTTGGGAAAGTCTGCTCTCACACAACTGGAAGACAATGAGTCAAAGGCTCTGCATCAGTCTGATGTCGAGTCGATGTTTCAAGTCGTTGTTCGGAACGCGTTCCTGTCCATTGAGGTGATACCCTCTAGGGATCCAGTCGTACCCTCTCAGGTTCGGTACGACTGGACCCTCCTGGCACCTACATAACGGTGTCGAACACAACCACCGTACCTGAGGTTCGGTACGACTGGATCCGAACGGGATCGTCTAGGGTCTCTTGGCGTGAAGAAGCACGTTGGCGACTCGAGGAACTGTCCAATGCTCATGGCACCTGCCCAGTCTTCCCATGTCCAAACCGAGACAAGACAACCCGAACTATGCAATCCCCGAACTGTTTGAGGCTTGACCGTTGAGGTTTGCTGCATGGCTGCATGACTATTGAGGCTTGGTGTGTGATTCCGGAGGCTTACTGCTTCGAAGGATTGAACCCACGGTCCAGCTTTGATCTGATCGAACCAGAAGGCCCCGCGCAGTCTCCACCCAGTCGTGTGCGCACACCGGTCCTGGGCTGTATGTTGCAAGGGCATGTCAAGAACTAGCTAGACACGGGGACACTGACAACCACTTGGTGGAGAAACTATTAATTGTGTTCTTTTTTTTTGGATTGTGAAATTGACATTCTTCATACTGTTTGGTCTAGTTTGGGGCAGCTCTCGGTCTTATGGAGCCCCTTGTAAGGACACTGGACAAGTTCATTGGTTGGGTCCGTTTACGGTGATTTTGACTGCGATGGTTCTAGTAACTAGTGAACCGCTGCAGCAACAACAACAGCAGCAGCAGCAGCAATAACAGCAGCAACAGAAACAGGATCTGATCTGTGAGGAAGAATTAAAAACACACACACACACACATTCAAGTATTGCAACCCTGCTTTGCAAGACTTCCGCCGCCTTCAGAAACAGCAACCCTTAATGTCAAAATCCAGCTAGCAGAGTGGAAGGGAATAAAAAAGAAGTTGCTTGTTTCTTTCTACCTACTACTACTTACTACTACATACTATTACATACTAGTACTTACTAGTACGTACTACTACTTACTACTACGTACTACTACTGAGTAGTACTTACTTATTTACTTACTTACTTACTTACTTACTTGCTTACTTCCTTACTTACTTACTTACTTACTTACTTACTTTACTTTATTACTTACTTAATTACTTACTTACTTACTTACTTACTTACTTTACTTTACTTTACTTATTTTACCTTTACTTTACTTTACTTTACTTTGCTTTACTTACTTACTTACTTACTTACATACTACCTACTGCCTACTGCCTACTCCCTACTCCCTACTCCCTACTACCTACTACCTACTACCTACTACCTACTACCTACTACCTACTACTACTACTACTACTACTACTACTACAACCACCTACGACCTACCTACTACCTACTACCTACTACCTACTATTACCTACTACTTACTACTTACTACTACTTACTACTACTTGCTACTACTTGCTACTACTGCTACTGCTACTACTGCTACTACTACTACTTCTACTTCTAACACTACTACCACTACCACTACCACCAACACTACCACTACCACAACTACTACTACCACAACTACTACTACCACAACTACAACTACAACAACAACTACTACTACTACCACCTACTAACTACTAACTACTTAGTTACTTACTACTTACTACTTACTATTACTACTTGCTACTGCTGCTACTACTCCTACTCCTACTCCTACCAATACCTTTGGATAGTTTTGGTGGTTGTGATTCTATTCAGAACTCCTGATGCTAGGGGGACGGGTCTTACCAATTAAGATCGAACACTATGGCAGACCCTGGTATGCGAAGCTCTACCATAAGCTACCCCAAAGGACATTCTTGGAGAAAACAATCCTCCAGGAATCCTCCCTCTCACTAAGAACATTATATATATATATTATGTTTAAAGTGTCATGTTGGTGCGTTTGGGGTCTGGATCTCCTTCCCAAAAACACCCATTGCTGGGAGCGACCCTACCGGCATGGACCCAAACCAGCTCTCTCACACATCCCGCCACGGGGGGGAACCGAGCGGCAGCTGCACCGCCACACCCACGGTGGCGGTCTCGCACTTGGACCAATGCCTCGCGCGAGAGGGTTTCGCTGCGTAGTGGTGGGACAAAGAACTCCCTGACTCCTCTAGGAAGCGGCAATGAAACGTCACCCAGTTCAGAGATGTTCATCTTTGATGCTTCCAACACCACAACTCACAAACAGCATGGTGTACTTCGAATACCTCATAGTCAAGCTCGACTCTTTTTCGCCCTCTTTTGGTCCACTCAGCTCGGTCCCCGCCGGTTTCGGTCCACGCCGGCGGCCAGCGAAAGGTTCCTGGGTGGTGTTTGGCGTCGAAGACGAGTCGAAGACGAGGGGACTTGGTGTACTGTTTACAAGTGTAACATGTAAAAACCGACTGTTTTGAAGGGGTAGGGTCAGAGTCAAGGCCGAGGTATGTTCCAAGATGTTCCAATGTGTTCGCAACTTCCAAGTTGACACAAAGCAGAACAAATAAGCTGACAAAAAGGCAGGAAGCTGACACAACAGACAACGAACTGCAGGATCCTGACTCAAACATTCCCTTTCATCAGACAGTACTGACTCAGCAAGGCTTTCTGAGGTAAAGCTTTAATGAAGAAAACAGCTACGTCGGACTGGACTCGACACCGACGTCGTTCCCGTTTGGGCGGCTGCCGGTCGACCGGCGTCGAGTCCAAGCAACTCATGTAGTAGTGCGTTCTGCTGAAGACTCTTCCACTTCCGCGATTTACAGTATGTGCGGTGCAGGCCTTCAACATCTTTGGCCTCCTTAATTCAACCCGACCGAAACTTCACCAACATCAGCTGAAATGATCTTTTTCAAGCGGCTGAACCTTACCCTTGACAACATTTTACAACCAATCAACAGGAAATCTAGCAGGCTTCTCTAAATGTTCAACACTTCCACCACAGCACCTGGTCTGGTGTTCCTAACACCTCCAGGCTTTGACCCATCTGAAGATGTCTGGTCTCAACAGGTGTGGTCTCAAATGAGGAATCTTCTAACCAACAGCTTGTCATCTCTGAGCTGTGGAGGTGGCGGTTCCACTTCGACACCCTTCTTCCACGGCCCTCCAAACTAAAGATTCCGGTTAGTTTCACGTATCTAATAATAGTTCATAAAATACATGTACTATCCAATTTTTAAAATAGGATTGATTACTTTCCCTGGAACTAACATGGAAGTGGACAACCACCTGTTTGTAGTGGATTTCATGGTCTTCCGAAATCGGGGCCATTCTCAACTTCCATGTGAGTTCCAGGGAGTCTATGTTCAATTCCAGTGCTTTCTTCTAAAAAAAACAACCTTCCGAGGCACGTGATGCGGCCAAAGGAAGTGCCCACCACAAAGAACCTGGGCGCATCACGTTGCCGGCGAAGCAGTCGACGGCTGCGGAGCCAGCCGAAACAGCCCGGGTGGGCGAGGTGTTCGGGGGGGGTTCGGCCGGCCGGAGACCTCATCCAACAATCCCATATACTCCATGTATGGAAATATATGCATACATTGACCCCCCAAACCACTCCAATGTAGGCATATATTATATGGCATACATGGAGCATCTGGGAATGTATATCATGGCTTGGGTCTATTCGATCTTCCATGACCTGCGCCAGAAAAAAAGGATGAAAAAAGCGGAGGATGGCGGATGATGGCGTTGTGTTGCAGGCCGACAAAGATTGTGATCATCTCCCACCGACTGTTCATGGCTGGTAATGATTAATGGGACACGCCCTAGCCATAGCCCATAGCCCTGGCGCCGCCCTCATCTTCGACTGTCTCCTTCCCAGGATTCTTCCGAGAGAGGTACACCAGTGCCGTGGTTGACGTCCAGAATCAACAAACGGTGGACATCCGTCGTCACAACCAGGGTTTTTGCTCCACCAAATCTTGACAGGTGATGAAACATGTTCTCCAAAATGGAGTCATGGGATATGATGAGATGGGACCCCTGGCTATGACACCCTTGAGTTTTTAGACTCGGAGATCATCCACATTTTAGAACTTCGGGAGCAAAACCTCGAAACAAAAAAAACATTTCATATAATATAAGTAATATCAAACTATTATATAACAAAACATATGTTAAGAAGGCTTTCTTCCATCCAAAACGGGAAGGTTTTTGAATGTCTGTTTTAGATATATATATTTTAGAGTCCATGTACAAATTAAAAGCAAACATCTCTGCGTCACATCGCCTTGAAGGGGGCGATGTGACGAGTGTACGCCACGCTGAGACGCCACGCTGGCCAACCACCAGACGGCCAGCTTTCACCAGGGCGGTCAACACCATCTCGCCCTGCTCCTCGCCCGCCTTGTCCACCTGTTTCGTCTCGGAAACAAGCCCTCCCCGGACGATCGTCGCGGAAGAACGGAGACTTCGTCGCGAAATCCGTGGAACATCAAGGGCCAATGTAGCCTATATAGCTATATTGTTGTTTTGTTCGTTTGTTTCCACCTGAGCGGCTCTCAAAACCTATATGTCATACAAGATAAGCCCACCACTAAACATGAACAGGGATGTTCGTGTTTATCCTTTATGATGGGGTGACCTCCGATCCCCATTTTTTCACTGACGGGGTATTAGGTGGGTTTCTTCTGCAACTTGCTTCGACAACATCTTGGGCCTGAATACCGTTCTGTGCCAATGTTTGTTGTCAATGATGGTATAGGCACCATGCCAGCCCACCAATCACCTAACCAGCTTTGGGGATCATACTTTTATTCTGAAGAACATTTGCTGAGAATTTATGAACGTATCATCTCGTTACAGTAATAGATCTGAACCGTTTGCATGCTGTTCGGCGTTTGTTTTAACTACTGTACTTAAGTGTCCGAGCCCTATGCTGTCCAGTCCTCCGATCGCCAAATGCTGAAGCCTCTCATATTTTACCAGCGAATTGAGGTGCCCCCCGCAAGCTTCTGGGGGGCACATGGTGCATTCGAGGCGCAATGATACCAAGACTGTCAGGCCTCTTGATGTCATGATGAGACACTCTGGGGGTTCTGTGAGTCCAAGGTTATACATAAACTGTTTCAGGTTGCCCACCTTTGACAGGTTCCAAGAGCCTATCATTCCTTCAAACGAGTCACCTTTTCGGCTGGACTAAGGCACTGACTAAGGCTTACTAAGGGTTTGACCTTTTCGTCGACTTGTTAACCCCCTTTTGTTGCGTATCCAGGACACCATGACAGCCATGCGAAACGCTGCGAAACGAGCGACAGCACCTGGTCGACCGAACTCGCTGGGTCCTTCATATGTGGGGGAAGTTTGAAAGGACCCAGGTGCCAGCACCAACAGACTCTGGGCTCTTTTTAGCAATATTTGACCAAGAGTACCAATCAAACCAGTTGATGCTGCGTCAAAACAAACACCGGCTGCTTTCCCCCAACCTTTGGGAGTCTTCAGGAAAAAAGGCATCGATCCTCCCATCTGACGCTGGAGTCGACGCATAGGACGCTGGAGTCGACGCTCCGCCCAACGGCACCTCCAGGATCAAGGCGATGGCAGAAGGAGTACCGTCAACTCCCTGGAGGAAATCGGTCCTCTTCGCCCTGCCAAGACGACCGTGCGAAGGGTGTCTTTCTTCCCGACACGAGACGAAGGTCAAAAGCACTGATCATGTGTCTCCACTGAAGAAGCATGTTCTGGTCTATCATGTTAAAGCATGTTAAAGCACTGAACATACTGATTTCATCTGCTTTGCCAAATATCTATCTGCTGCCGGACCAAGTAGGCCCAGAACGAATGGAAAAGGAATCAGAAGAAAACACACATGAGAGATGAGAGCGGTTTTGCGGGGATGTACCTGCTGGAATGGTCTTAGAGTCTAAAGCGAAACTGCATGCGGATGGGATCTTGGCTTCCCTGCACATTCTTCCACCGTAGTGCCTCGCGTACGTGCTCACGCGAGGCCCTGTCTAGAAGCCAGAAGCCATTGCTTTGTTCGAGTCCCTATATAGCACTCCCCTTTTTGTGAGCGTGAAGCAATGTTTAAAACAACACAAATCCAAAAACAGTTCTTTTCCCACTCAACATGAATAAATACAACACACTTCCCAAATCTCACATGACACATACGCACTTCCCCATCAACTCACCCAGTTCAGATGTCTTGATCCATCTTCAAGGGAAACTTCCCTAACTTCTCATCATGCTTTCCCCCCCAGAATTGGTGGACTTGTGCTCCCTCCTCAGCACCTCCCCGCCCGACCCTCTCGGCGCGCGCGCTCCACCCGTCCTTTCCGCTCGCGTCGACTGCCGGCCGTTCGGACAGCGACCCACGGAGCGGCCGGAAACGGACCGGTCGGATGCTTGGCATTCGCCGGTGTTTCCCAACGGCACGAGAAGACCAGCAAGAGATCGGAGATCCAAGGTGTTTTCGGGGATCCGGAGTCCAGGTGTTCCACGCTGCGGACTGGCCATGATGTCGGGAGTATCATCGAATGCCAATTGGTGGATCATTTGTGGGCTGTCTGAAGCTACGTAGCCCAGGAGCCCCGTGGCAGCGCATCCAGGAGGTAGGCCAGGAGCCCTAGGCTACGCATTGTTTTGGGAGATGATTCCAAGTGGTGCAGGATTTCTTCCAGCAAAAGCACATTCGAATTGTCGGTGTTAGATTTAACCCCCAAAAATAACCGCAGGATCTGGATATCTTTGAGCCGACCCAAAACCTCTGGCGAGATACAAATGGGATTTCCAAGGTAAAGTGCACCACTATTCCATGTTCTGAATATTCACCCACGTACAAAACCGTTCCATGGGTTGTTGGGGCTTTGCTATACAAACCGCCAGCCTGGTCCGGGCACGGTGTCCACACGGTGTCCACCATATCGCGATCAAAAGGAATCAGATCAGGGGAAGACCCAATCAATTGACATGGTCATGTGGATTGTCATGTGGATTGGTAATGGGATTGATGTCATGCATTTCTGAAGCTCGTCATGGATTTCTGATGATTTCTGAAGCTATCTTCCATTTTCTGGACCCCGATGGAAAGCTATAGATGTGTTGAGCTGCGGCTCGCTGCATTCAGCGAAGTCTGGGGCAGTGAAAGACTCTGATTGTTCGCCCAACTCTGGGCGTGCACACTCATCAACCACAATCCACATATTAATATAGTAAGGAGTGGCTATACGAATTTAAGTTGCTTCGATCAATATCACACCAGGCACACAAAGAACACGGGTTCCAAAAGAAAGTGATTTGGGGTTCTCAGATCTGCCAGTTTGTTCCTTGCCTTTCTCAGGCCAATCATTTCACCCCCTCAGATCTGCGAAAACAAGCCGTGCAGCGGGTTCCGCTTCTCACTTCAGGCTTGGAGCGTTGGGCCGCGCCCCGACGCGCATGATCTGCTTGTTGCCAAACCTGGGGCCGATCGGTTTAGACCGGTCCTTTTCTGTGGGGGGGTCCGCCGGGTCCAGTAGATGAGGACCCCCCCAAAGGGGTGTCTATTAAGAGCCCCTAATAGAAGTTATGTATAAGGGATGGCTATAAACCACCCTTTGACTGAAGGGCCCTGGTATGTGGTTGGTATATCTCCTATCGGTGCGATTTTGAAAGTTGAATGATTGTGATCGAGGTTTGGGTTAGAGATATCTTAAAGACCCGTTCTTGGTCTCCAACCAGGACTCATGCAAGACTCCACAAAAGGGTGGGTTCCTCACCAGATCCCATGCCTAGCCTATAGGGCTCCAAGATGGTCCAGTCGTACCTTCTAAGAAGGTCTTTGGGGTGGCACCCAAAGGATCAGGAGGGTCCAGTCATACCTGCGTTTCGTTTCGGCACGACTGGAGCCTAAACGGGGTGTGGGTTCACCCCTCCGCTGAAAAGGTCTCCACCCCACGCGGCGAGCTCGGGTGCCACGCTTGAAGGTCTCTTCCCGATGGATGCTGAAGGGGTCCGGCGAGGTCACGAAACACTTCACCGGCCCAAACTTCTTCCTCGGCGCTTTAGAATAAGCAGCGCCAGCGCGGCAGAAGGACACCCCCCAAACGAGTAGGGAGAAGGGTAGCAAAGAGGAGAAGGGTTGACATCATGTCTGGCTCTGAGCCCATGAGTGTGATGTGCGTCGCCTAAAAAAGGGGGCCTCTAGTTAGCCTGTAATGTTAAGTTACGATTAATAAACCTCCCCTAGTGAATCCGAAGACACAAACCCACCAGAAATTGCCCAAATTATAAGTATTATTCGTGCCTATTTCCCCCCCTAATCTTCTAGTTGGGCATCAGAACCCCCCCCCAGGTAATCCGAGCCCACAACCAGGTATTACTACTACCTACTACCTACCTACTACCTACTACTACCTACTACTACCTACTACCTACTACTACCTACTACCTACTACCTACTACCTACTACTACCTACTACCTACTACCTACTACCTACTACTACCTACTACCTACTACTACCTACTACCTACTACCTACTACCTACTACCTACTACCGACGACGACTGCGACTACGATGGCTCCCTGAGCCGATAATTCAGGGGAGGTGGACCTCATGAGTGGTATCTCAGACCTTCTTGACCCTGTTGACCTACCATGTGGGGGGGGGGGCCCTGTTTATAAATCAGATGTTGACATTAGTGACTGTGGTATGTCAAAACAGGCCGACATATACCAAAAACATGAAAAAACAACAGGATTGTTCATGTTCGCTGGTCAACCAGCGTGCCTGGGTGAAATGACTCACAGCCAGGGATCAAACTAGAACTGTTTCCGAAATGGATCATTATCGATCCACATACTGGTTGATGTATAGGAAGGTGACGTGTTCGACACTTTGATTTATCTCAAACACTCCATGGGATTGGCATATTTATACACATACATTGGGGAAGGCATGCAAAGGGGTCAATGTGTCAGCCCATGTCAGTCCCAAACAGGTGGTGTAGACGGGTAGACGGCAGCGGCGGGCATGCACTGCTTGGACACCCGAGCTTATGCAGCTGCTTTAAAGCAAAGAGTGGGGAGTCCATGATTCATGATGGAATCTCATGAAAATCAATTTATAAGATCATTTATATAAGTATGTCCGGAAACATCACAGTGTGTATACTCTCTCGACTTGGGCTTTGCACTAGCAGTGAGACAAGCCAAGCCAGCGGGGCGGTTTCCGGAAAACACCAGCATGAAACGGGTGGTCTTGCAAAACGGGGCCATGGATGTTCATGGAATGGATGGATGGCGGTCATCTGTCTTCCAAGAACATCCGGACGGATCAAGGAGTGGTCTGACTCGAGAACCTGAGGAGTCATGGCCTTTCCAAAATGGTCACCTTCGTTCCGACACCGCACGGTGCGTCGCTTGGTCACTGGTCCAGCGGACGGGTCCCGGGTCCCGGGTCGGGTGATCCGCACCGCGCTTGGCGCACCGAGGCACAAGCGATGATCCACGAAGCTGGACTTCGCCTCGACCGGCCCGCGCGGTGGAAGCGGAAGAGACCGGGTGACGAGTGCAATGCGATGATGCCAACAGTTTGCTGAAACCTAGCTGAACGCACAGTAGTTGCTGAACATGATTCTGCCAACACAATATACACGAGAACTGAACAGAACTGAACACAACAACAAAAAGACTCCATCATCTATAGGTCCTAGGTATTTCTACATTTTCTCCATGTCCACGCTTGCTGAATGAGTTCGATCGATGTGATGAGGTGCTTCGATCGGTCGTTCTTGAAGACGCATCTCGCCATCAGCCGAGCCATCGATGCAGTTATATAATCGCCGCTTACTTAGATGTGCTTCAGGAACCGGGAAAAAACATAAACCAACATAACAACACAATAGAAACGACAAAGGAACTTCCCCCTAAGGATTCACCACCTGGACCCTACTTCAAGTACCGAAAATGAGACATGAACAGGTACTTGTATGTACTTGTACCATCTTGTACCCATTTTCCGAGGTACTTTGAGACTCCAGGTCCAGGTAGGGACAACAAATGTCTCACCCGATCTGCAAAACCATGTCTCAGCCCGCTCCGATCCAACAGGCGGCTTGATATCAAGCGGTTCGCTCGTGCGGGTGGTTGACCGGACCGTTGGAGTGGGCACGAAGCGAAGCCAGGGAACTTCTCGCTGAGAGGCTCCAGCTGGGTGGCTGGGCCCTGCACAAATATGATCTCCGCAGTTTTGTTGTGGCCTCTTGCTGTGGCATCTCGGTGATGGTATCTTACCCTACAAGCCATAATATGTATAGTATGTTGACTTTTATCGTTCTGTGGAACACAATCTGGATCCACAATGATCGTACATCGACCTCCGGTCCAGCTCCGGCTCCGACCGGTTCCGGCCTCCGAGACCTCTGGGTAGGTCTCATAGAGGCCCACGGTGTTGGACCAAATGGAACGGCTCAAACACCGGTGCCTGCGCATCGCTTGCCGGCGCGAGTGCCGCTTGCGGCGCGAGTGCCGGGTGTGTGCTGAAGACACCAGGTGACGTGGTGGACATGAAATGCGGCAGGACCAGCCTGAACATTTGGAAAAATGAGGGACGATTTCGTGTGGGAGGTGTTCTTGGGGTGACCATGACATAGTTGGTTGCAACCAGCCTTTGTTTAAGAAGTATGTCCTCTCAAGCCAAAGACACCAAACGAGAAGCGATTGTATGGGGTATGACCGGGCCATGTGACTTGGAAGTCTGACATTGATCCAAGCCCCCCTTTCACATCAAGACTCCAAGTCCCCTCTGCTCCTCCCATCTCTCCTCTAGTCCACCCGTCCCACGAAAAGCACCGGTGTCTCTCCATCTCTAAACGAAAAGATGAAAGAGAAATTGTATCCAATAGCTTCTTGTTACTACTAGTAAGGCACTTGTTACTACTAGCGTGGCACTTGTTACTAGCATACAGTGCCTGGAGGGCAAGACCGGTGCGGTGCTGGTGTCCATCGGCCACTTCGGCGCATCGGCGAAAAGGCCGCCGTCCACCTTGCGCAGGTGTTGCACCTGCCTGGCAGCGATGCAGGTGTTGAACCCGAAAAAAATTGGCCGGGGACGGTGGGACCGGGGGTCGGGGACGTTTGTTTGGAGTGGGACAGTGGAGGTGTGGTGCTCCACCTTTTGGAACGGAAATGTTCTTTGGTCTAGAAAGTGCTTGGGGAAGCATGTGGATTGGTTCCTGAAGATGGGGAGAGGTTCTGGGTCCAAGGTCCCCTCCAAAGCTCCTATGGGCCAACTGGCGTAGCACTTCGACTGGGTGGGATCAACTTTTAAGCGTATCATATGATAACAATTAAGGAAGACCTTTTGAATGCACAATAGAAAACAGCTTCAACATCAAACAGGAAAGCATAGAAATAGGAAGAAGAAAACAAGAACCAAGCAACGAAAGTAAACAAAAAAAAACAAAAAGGACAGTCAATCATTCAACAAGAGACACAGGCCATACAGTTTCGGCTCAAGATTCTCGTTTTTGTGAACCTGGATGCCCTTCTGCAACATGACATTGTCTGAATAAAGAGCGTGGAGCCAAATAGCTTTAAACGTGAGGCCAGTGAGGCCGTGGGGATCACCATTTTTCAGGATCTTTGAGGGGGAGCGCAAAGAGGGGGTTGCAGGAGGATGCAGGGCGAAGGCTGAAAGAATGCGTTTCTGCTTCAAGAACCGTTGCAACCTTGAAAAATACGGGTTGAACATTAATATGATGAGAAACACACATGGGAAAGCAACAGAACCCACACAGTTTCCGGAAAACACATAGGACAAAGCAATAGGAACACAGTGTTCGATCAAAACAATAGGAGTATAAAAATCAACAACAACAACAACAACAACAACAACAGCAACAACACGGGCCATCCAATGGGTTTTATGGGGCCATGACCTCCGCTCTCCCACTGAACACATTTACCGAATCTGCGAACGTAGATGTTGCAAGTGCCTCAGATGGGTAGGATGTTGCAGCTGGTTCTTGTCTCAATTGTCTCCTTCCTTGGCCTAGCTGCTAGCTTGTGCATTGTCATGCATGGTCATACCATGGCTGACAAGCAAAACCTGATTTCATCGGTTCGATGTCTTCATGGTCGATGCCCCGTTGGTTGACCGATGAACAGTTTGATCTCTATTGTGTGTTTCAATCTCTATTGTATACGTATGCTTTTTTGGGACGTCCGATTCCAAACTTCCTTTGGGATCCAAACAACTCTATAGTTGTACTAACTATAGAAGGTACCAGCTGCTTCCAAGGGGTCACCAATGGACATCTCCACAGTACTTAAAGGTCTCCATTGGGCACCCCTTGGAAGCCCTAGGTATATAGTATTCTATATATTGCCATGGTTGAGGCTTCAATCGTTCCTGGCTCGCAGCGGTCCCAGCGGGAGAAACGCCTTGTGGATGTGGAAGGCTCCTGAAAAGACGGAGAGCGCCCCGATGAATTCGTCTCTTCGGCACATCAATGACCAACCACCATCAAGCAGCCAACAGCTCCTTTTTGGGGGATGATCAGTCAATATCCCCAAAAAAAAAGAGAAAAACAGCAAACAACACAAATCGAGACAGCAAGTTGCTAATGGGGGTTCAAGAATCATCCATGTGTTAGGTAGGTCTTCTGGGTCTTCCAGCTGGAATGGATCACCACAGACTGAAGTATGGAGCTCAACTCACCAAAAAAGCCAAAAGTTTGCAAACAAAACAGAAGAGCCCATTGAAATGATATGACATGGATAAGCAACCGTGGATCCCTCCTTGAGTGCTTTTAGGGAGCTGCGCTAGAAAACGGTCTGTGGTTTTTCTGCGAGTCGGCATGTGTTCCCACTCATCTCGCGACGATTGACTTGACATGTTCTGTCTCAAAAACTCTCGCGAACCAGTTCTCGAGTTCGTCTGTTTGGACAGGAGTCCCTCGGATTTACTGTAGTGGATCGCACGTTTTGTTCAAAAATCCGGTGACAGGAGAAAGGGCTTGTTCAACCTTAGCATCTAATTATCCATAATTATCCTATAGGATAATGCCCACCCGAATGGTCATGCTCGCAATGTCAGCGCTAGAACATACCCGTGCATGTTCACCTGAGCTACGGCCAGTTCACCTGGTAACCAATCGCTTATACTGGAGAGCGGACTTGCGGGCGAGTGCGCTTCGTACCCAGAAAAAATCACAGTCCCTTGCTGTTGGAGCAGGTGGGTCAGGACATACAGGGAACATGTTTGTATGTCTTAACACTGAAAAGAACATAAGTAAAAGATCTACAAATGGTTGCACTCCTGGTCACCCTCCATTTGGGGGTGCTGTCGTAGCTCACCTGTAGCATACCTGGTATATACAGTATTATACCAGGAGCCTGAGTGACCTCTATTTTGGACCACCAAGCACCCAAATATGTGGTTTGCGTATCCAAAGAGGGGTCATGTCTGGGTTCCAGGTATTTATGTACACACAATAATGTCTGAGTTCCAGGCATTATAACTTACGTATACATGTATGTCTCTATTGATCCTAATCAATAGCAGATGCTCAGGGTATATAATACATATTATGTCTAGAAGGTCTCCCACATCCCAATCGCCGATTCGGCTCCATTCGTGGCATCTCAAAGGACGGGCATGAGGCTGGCCGGGCCAGCGCACAACTCCTGAGACCGTTCCGACGTGAGACCGTTCCAAGGTGGATCAGGGCGGATCAGAATTCAGAGCTGACCAGGTGAGAGCGCTTGCGCTTGCGCTGTGGTGAGAGTGACTGAGAGTGCTGAGAACCCCAAGACGTTGGTCCGGGCCGGCTCGGCTCCCAAGCCCCAGGACATGCAAACCATGTCAGGACTGATCCTGCAGTTGCCCAGTCAGTTGCCCCTTAGAAACCCGGATCTTTGATGCATTTCTTCAGTGGGCCCACATTCAATTCCACCAACATACACTGAAGATCTCTTTCGTAGGCCAAACACGCCGTCCAGTGACGCATGTGATGACTTTCGTCAGGCCCCGGTCGCATAGGGGTGGTAAGAAAGTGACCTTCGTTGACAGAAAGCGGATGACTTAGCCATGGTGCAACATCTGGAGGTTCTATGATGCACAATGCATAGAACGTCTGGAGAGAACCCTTCCGGAAGTCCAATGGTTGGTCCAAAGTGTGGTCGTTCCACCAATCGCCAGGACAGCTCACTGGAAGGCGAATCAAGGCTCAGGTGGAGGGAATGATGCAGGAAGACGGAAGAAGTGGTCAAAAAGGGGGAGCTCTGGAGTCATTGGTTTGATGTGAATCTGGAATCTGGAGCGATTATAGTTATAGAATGAATATGTAATGATATCTCTATAGGTACCGAGGGGTACATATAGCCTTTGATGCCTGCTTGATTAATTGCATTTTATCTATAACATCACAATATGCAAGTTCTTGTCCAGGTCACATACTCCCAACTAGCGCCCCAGGCCCCACGGGTGCTCCTCATGTTTTCAAAGTGGGCAGCGCTATCGGCGCGGACTCGGACTGCTGTATCGGCGGTATCGGATAGGCTCCAGAGCTTGTCGGCCTCCCAAACCTAGCTTGTAGGCTTCTCTTGGATTCTATAGTGCAATCACCTGTCCTAAGACTCCCTTGCTGAGAATGAATGATTCTGTCACATTGCATGGCTCAAGCATCTTGGCAGCGGTGTTTTCGCAAGCTTAGATAGGGCCTTCCACATCGGTCCAAATCGAGTCCTCAGTTGAGAACACAACCCTAGGGCTCCAACCACCTCTGTTTCGGTTCGATGGGACCGGGGTGGGTGCCAGGGGTCGAATACCAGCGAACCTGAGGATACGGGCCAGGAGCCCTAGGGCAATGTAGTTGCAGTTACATTCCTGAGATCTCCCCGCAATGCACTGAATGGTCCGCTGACTCACTCAGTGGATCCAGTTACCCCTTCCGACAGATCACCTGTGGTTCGATCCAGACTATAAAGCGCAAACCTGGCAAACCTTGATCACCCCTGGTTCCTTATAGAAGTGGAAGTCACCAGGATGCGGTCAACAACATGTTCTATCTCTTGCATTTACAGTGATTTGCTATGGTTATCAAGTACTAGTACATCCAATTTCCCTCATACTCATACTGGATCATACTTGGTCATTTTGGGGGAGAGCACCCGCCCGCTCCGGAGCGCCAGCCCGCCAACAGTGCACCCTGCCCTGCTCCCAGCGCCTCTCCAGGCGTGCTGCTCAAGCTGATGGGCCGCCGCAACGGGAGCTGAAGCGCGGCACGCGAGGCGCGAAGGATCCGGTGGAGGGGCGGTTCCTGCTAAGGGAGACGGAAAGCCCAACGGTGCTTTTGATCGAATCGGTGATTTCAGTCACACGTGATTTGTATGCTGCAAAAAGAAACGGCTAGAAAGGCTCAAGTAGGATCTGGGTGTCCAGTTTGATCTAGTTTGCAAGTGATTGCAAGTGTGATTCTTGGGGCATGACCGTGATGACTTTAGAGCTAGGATGAACGTCATGGATTGCTATGTTCTGAACGGGGTCGAGATGACCCTGGTGGTGGATGGTCCTGCAGTTTGTCGACAGCCCTGTTCATCGATCTTCCATAAGTGGACCCAGACCCATGCAATCCCAAGCACCATCCTGGAATATACATATGCCTACATTGACTACCCAAACCACCCCAATGTAGGTACATATGTCATACATGGATGGTCTGGGATTGGGTTCATGTCGCCTGGGCTTTGGGGTCGACATAGATGCAGTCCACAGTATTGGGCTCACAGTATTGGCTCGAACACCACACAGTATTGCGGCTGCCACTACGACACTCCCAATGGAAAGATACACACACTCATACACACTCTGACATTGGTATTCAGTTAACTCAGTTCCCACGCTGGGAAGGAAGGTGACAGAACTGCATGGTGAAGAGTCCGAAAGACTTGTAGGTGTTTCAACAAGTTGTTGGTCAAGTCTGCAGAACGATCGGTCGGCGCGGCTCAGCTGCAAGACAACGCGGCAAAGGGAAGGTTTAGGGGAAGTATCATGGAACCACCATGACAGCAAACCAAAGGAAGAGTGGAGTCACAGCTTGATAGAACGGCAGGTACGCAGGGCTTATCAGGCCCTGCTTCCCACTCTCGCCCACAGCTTCGTTGCGTGTGGTAGGGCGGGAGTGCCACACGCCCCTGCTTGTGAAACAGTGGTGAAGGTGAAGGTGGTGGCGATCCCTTCGGCACAGGGGTTGACACACACACACACACACACACAAGTGTCACCAATTCGATCCATTCCTCTCACCGACGTGTCACCATGCCCCAAACGCCGGTCCCCCGGGCCGGCATCTTGGAGGTGACCTGCCGGATGCGGCCGACCAGCTCCTGGAGCTTCTGAAGCGGGACGACACAGCAAACGTAGGGGAAAGGTGTCACCCTCAGGGAAGCTCTTTCGCTTGAGGAATGGAATAGATGTGAATAGATGAATAGATGATGGAACGGGTCATTCCACAAACAGAAACATCCTGGGTCATGGATACCGGGACCCACTGGTAGGGTTATCCAAGAAATTGCACAAACCATCGCAAGATATTCATTTCAACACTGAAACATACCAGTGGCACAACATGGTGTAACTGGTGTGTTCGGAGATCCGTCCAGTGGGCCATCCACAAGGAAGTTGAGCAAGTTGAAGAGTGCTAAGGCTCTGTCCACCCAATCCCTCTATTTATGGAAGCCTGAGTGACTAAAGTCTACCATTACTGCCAGCCACGGAATAGTTAGCGAATGGAACATCAAGCCTTCAAAAGTTGGTTTCCCAATGGATCAGCCGGGGTTTGGCTGTTCAACTTGACCCGTGTCTTTCGGCGCTTCGTTGTAAAGAACCTCAAGTATATCCACAAAAACGACCGCCACTGCCACTGTGGCCTTCATGGCGCAGAACGCCTTCATGACTGGCCAACGAGCCAAACCACTCAGTCGACCCCCCGTCCCCTGCCCCGGTCAACCCCACCACATTCCGAGGACGGCGGGTTCTGTCCGATCGTCCTCGAGGTTCTGCTTCCACAGCGCAGAGATGGGGATGGCTTGCTCGGCCTCACACCGAAAAGAGACTCGGATTCTCCACGGTGTCCAAACAAAGGTGACGGGAAAGAGTTCCCCAATCTCTGCATGTAATGGAACATCATGGAGTTTTCATCTGCCATCATGTTATATGTACCAGGACACCAAAAAGATGTCTATTGACAGCCCATAAGAGGTGATTCGCGGTGTCCATTAACCACCCCTTGTGGGTCCTGGTATGTCTACAACTATGTCTATAGATGTCTATACATTCACCCCGGCAAAACCACCACGCCCTGGCCCCCGTCCCTGGTCGTCCCCGCCTCTTGTGTCCAATCCACATCTGCCAGGCCGTGCTCGTGTAGAAGTTGGCCTCAACACGGGTGGTTGTTGGCGACATAATGTTTAACGTATCTCGATCTCGCGCGTATCTGTTTTAACATGTTTTAACATGTTTTAACTTTGTTTGTAGAACACCGAGTTACACTTTTTGAAGTGCCAACCAAAGGGCCAAACTTGCTATCTCCGTGGTGGAGGATTGTAACCAGTTATCCCAACAAGCGACCCGTTGGCAACGTCGAACATTCTTCGGACAAACACCGCTGGATTAATGCATCATAGTAGAATGAATGCATCCCCATTTTGCGCACGCGTTCACCCACGGCACATGCCTTGTTTTTGTGCTCTCCTCGCATACCCAGAAATTAAGCAGCTTGGTTTCACCAGGCCTGGGTTCAATTTCGCTCCCATAATGGCAAGGGTTAAAAGCATCAAAGAGCCTTCCAGAAACGACCTTCTGTGGGTCCCATCCTGTGTCGCATCCTTCGGCACACTCTAGACGCAAGTTCACCCCCAAACAGAATGGTTGGGGGGTTCAACTCACTTGAACAAGAGTTGTCAGTGGGCTCAATCATCCCAAGTAAAGGTTGAACATAACAATTAGCTGAAACCATCACCCATCAACCAAGCACTCAGAAACCGTAAAGAAGCGACACCCACAGCAGCCCCAAACCAAACCAGGAAATATAGCCTTAAACCAAGCCCCTACATACTCTAAAGAAGTCAAACCCTGAAGCAGGCCTGAATAAACCCTAAGACTAAGAAGTCAAGCCCTAAAGCAAGCCCACACAAACCCTAATGAAGTCAAGGCCTGAAGCAAGCCCAAACAAAAACCTAAAGAAGCCAAGCCCTAAACCAAGCCCAAACAAAGCCTAAACAAGTCAACCCCTGAACCAAGCCCAAACAAACCCTGAAGAAGTGAAACTCCAAACCATCCCAAAAACGCCCTAAAGAAGTGAAGCCCCAAACCATGCCCTAAGAAACCCTAAGGAAGCAACAGGTGCCCAATGGAGATCCCAGATAGTGGTCGTCGGGTAGTCCAGCCAGGACACCCAAACAGGATGGGCGGATGGTCCGAGGGGACAGCAAAAGATACAAGGCTCCACTCTTTAAACCAAAGGCCAAGCTTATGACTGCGATTCGGTGCTTCGACATCGGCTACCCTGGCACCCACCCCCAAACACCTTACCGTTGGAAGGTACTTCGAGCACCTGGCCCTTGGACCTCTGCGGAACCAGCCGACCCCTCCTTCACGCTTCCTCCGCGGACGCGGGGTCACCAATGGTCCAGCGCCGCGCGACCCGCGTCGATGGGAACAAACACACACACAGAATAGATCAAGGCCATTGGACCCATTGGACCCATGTTGCACCCATTGGACCACTACCAGTACTGCGCCGTGACCGGCTGGGTCCCGTGCATTGTCTGCGCAACTCGGCGCGGGTGAGCTCCAAGTGGCAGCTGGCGACGTGGCGGCCGGCAAGGCATTTGGCCGGAATCCGGTCTGAAGAATATAGAATTCATGGATGGGTTGAAGGGGTTCGTGTTTAAGATGTTTTAAGAGTGTTGATCTCTGGGTGCTTTCTTCACGCACCAGGCCGCACCAGGGGCATTGGCTCCACTTGTCGTGTTTTTCTGTTGACTGGTACCCCAGCCCCATCGGCCCACGTAATGCCCTTAGCTACTATAGTAGCTTCTTGTTCCTAGTAGCGATGCCCTTGGTTCCTAGTAGCTTCTTATTCCTATAGTA